CCCTCTGTTTCGACCGACACCGACAAAACCCCCTAGCCACTGTAACGTCGGCCACCCAGCCACCGGACCGGTCAAGTTTTGACCGGCGTCACATCCCAAGCCAGCTCCGACCTTCTTCCTACCTCTGCTGCTTCCCACACTCTGCTAGGGTTTTCAGAGTCGCCGCTTCTCTTTCCTTCTTCTTCTTCTTCTTCTTCTTCTACTTGGTCTTCGTTTTCTTTTTTGACTCGGATTCATTACTCACTCGCTGTCTCGCCGAGTCCACTTATCAACTCGGTAAGTTTTCTTAAATCTCAATCTCTGTTTTACATAACATTTGCTGGCATTCTGATTGCAGTTTTGTCGGTCTGATCAGAAATCCTTAATCCGCGATTTGTTATTGTTTTTTGCTTAGTTTGTTCAATTTTGATTTTGGGATCAGCGAGTTATGGATTGATTCTGTAAGTGTTTGATGCGTGATCAATTTGAATTTCAAATTGTGTTTAGGAAAGTGAAGGAGTCGATAGTTTTGAATATCTGATTGTTTTTGGGTATTATTAGATAGGTAATCCGTACGCTCAGTGTGTGTGATAATTTTGACTGGTAAGTACTACTGTTGCTAGTTTCACTTCCACTAAGTTGGTAAGCGTTCTCAGACTGAATTGCAGTAAGAAATTATCTACTTAATGACTTATTAGTTTCGTTTTTGTCAGTCAAGGAAACTTGGGTTTTGTGAGGATTAGTAAAGGGTGCTCTTTTTTATTTATCATTATGAGCAGTTCATTTCTTTCTTCTTCTTTTTTACATAATTGCATGTTCATTTCTTCTTGAATTTTTTCAGGTTTGTTGATGTAGTTCTGACCATACCTGGGGGAACTCTATTTCCTATGTGTGGACTCATGGGTATTCGTGAGCCAATTGGAAGATATGGTGATATGTAGGCTAGCTGGTGCATGAAGATAATTTGAATTGCTTCATTTTTATTTCCTGTTTATGTCTACTGAGAGCTTGTTGGGTCTATTCTATATGAAATAAACAACTCTTCCATGGTATAAAGCTCACTTACTATGCATTTGTCTTGATTTGGAAATGGTTGATGCCATCACTGTCATATGATATTTTGCACAAACTACATTTCAGTTTCGGAAACTGCATTGCAGTTTTGGAAACTACATTTCAGTTTTGGTAATTACAATTGGATTTTAGCTCTTTCCTTGGCCTTCAACCTCATCAATTTAAAGAGTAAAGGCTACCTAGATGAGGAATTTGAATTGTCACCCTTCCGCTTGTTCAATTTGATGGGTATGTCATATTTTCAAGACCATGTTTCTGTTTTCTAACATACTATAGCTTATGTTTGGTAGGAAGGATAGAAAATGGGTAATCATGGTAAGGGAAGGGAGGGGTACTGATGATCCTTTGTGCTATTTGGTTGAGGGAGAATTGGAGGGAGGAGACATCACATAAATTTATGATGTTGCCAAACAACATGAACTAATGAAGAAACAAGGAAATATTATCTGTCAAACCATGGGTATTCTGTTGCTTTTTTGAAAGTAAGCACCACATGAAAGAAAATAAAAAGACAACCCACGCTTATGAGAATAGTTCTGAGGAACTTGCTGCAAAACATCAAAAGATGTAAAGAAGCTCAAATGTACTAATCATACCGTCAACAAGCTAAACACATTGAAGATTGTTTTATTTAATATTAATTGCATATTTCTACTACAAAAGGCTAAATCATTTTATGTTGAAGATACTGATAATTTTTTCCTTCTCTCTACTTTTCTTTGCATGTATTGGGCAAATTCAGCAATTCCTGTTCTTTCAATGTAAGTGAATTTCATCCCCCTCAGCTAGCCATTATTTATAGTTTCTCTCTCTCTCTCTCTCTCTCTCTGGCGATGCTAGACTGCAGAAAACGGGAGTTGGTCCCATGCAGACGGTGGCAGGCCGGCGATGGGTGGTTGTTGGCTGGCAGCGCTGGAGTCCAGCGGTGGTAGGTGACCGACGGCGACAGGTGGCCGGAGGTGGCCGGCGGCGGCTGGTCGGAGGTGGCCGGAGGCAGGTGGTTGGCCAGCGGTGGTGGTTGGCTGGATGTGGACATGTGGCATAGTATGCTTGCCTTAGAAGGAATGGCATTGTGTGTAATTTTGATATTTTTTTAATGATATTTTTGTAAAATTGGGTACTCATTTTGGTCTTTGGCCTTATGCTAATTAGATGAAATTGTATTTCTTTCTACTAAATTAGTAAACTATATTATGGTTTAAAACTAAAGCTCCCTATTTTTTACCCTAATGTTTGTCAACTTATTATATAATCAACTTAAATTAATTAAACCCATCATGCAATGCATTTCCTTCCAATTTTTTTACAATAAAGTAATAAATAATTGACTAAATAAACATCCGACAAAGTTTTAAGAAAAATTTCCAAGTTTTTCTAACACTTTCTATGGTTTTTATTCAATTTTTATTGATATCGATAATTTCCTGATATTTCCATTGAAATTTCCGTATTTTTGGACCACCGATATTTCCGAAACCGACCTTGCTCAAGACCAAATGTAAGTTCATTGATATCACAATCAATCACGCAGCAATCATCAAATATACCGATCATTCAACATTCAAAGGTGTTACGGTTGAAATCAACCTCCAATTTCAAACGTGGGAGGTCATCAATTACACTCAAAACAAAAAGGCAAATAAAAAAAATGCCTTGATGTTGTAAAGGGAAGGAAAAATAAAGATGCAAGCGCCTATACGCACAACTACACAATGCCACATTCTACTATTACAAACTTATAATACAGGGGAAAACTTAATAATTACATTTACTGAAAAAAAGATATTTATGGGGCTCCGTTAGTTTCTATGGGAGCTCTGTCGTCCGGCCCAGCTAGCATGATCTGCCATATTATGTATTTCTTATCAGCAATCTCTTCATATAGCAAAACAAGGGACCAAGAAAGAGCAAGGAGAAGCAGGAATTTTAGAACTAACAATGAATAGTATATATGAACGACAAAATTATACATACATTACAATCGAAAGCAAATCTCCGGGCAAGCATGATGGCCGCATTCCTCTCTCTTTCTGATTCAAATGCCAATACAAAGGAAAGTCCTTGTTTTGCTTGCCAAAACAATGCCTGAGCTGCAGCATTCCCACCTCCTCTAACTCCACATAGCTATAGTACACCAACAAACAACATCATAGACATGGTTTAAAATCACTGAAACAAAAATAAAGGAAAACAACTAACATTCTAATACAAAAATCATTGCCTATTGGGAAGCTGTTTCTATTTTGGTTTCAATTGCATTGACAACTAAATAATTGCTATTAGAAGTACATTTCACTTTATGCATCTCAGATGTGGTGCATTTAGAATGAAATGCAACAGAAAACCTACGGGAGGAAAGAGTACTTAGACAGGATAATGCCACATCATTTTGGTCACCAAAATTCACTGTTTTACTGTTTCTTTAACAATCAATTATTTTCTATATATGAACAGGCTTTTGCCTCAAGTAATTAGCAGGATGACCAGGCAATTGGATAGATCCACATTCATATATTACTAACACATACATAAACTAATAAAATTATCTAATACCTGCATCGAAGTAGAAAAGTATTCTTTTGCAATTGTTGTTTTTCCCTTGCAAAGTTTAATCCTCATCTTTCCAACATGAAATACATGAATAGATTCTGAGGGATGATTGACCCCATTCATTTGGGTAATAACTACCTGGAAAGTATTATAAAAACGTCAAACAGGCAATGGGTGATTTAAGGCTGGAAAATAACACTTCTCCTTCCTTTTCTTTTTTTTTTTTTTCAGCCACAGTACTATAAGAATAAATGAGATAATTGAAATATCATTACAGACATCAAGAAAGAGGGGTAAAACCCAAGCTCGATGGACAGCCATGGGGACGCCAAACTTTCTTCCATAAGTTAAATCTACTTTAAGATTTATACATTTAGTTAATGATCTCCACAAAAACTCAATACGGACAGAGCAGAGCACACAAACTTAATAAGTGGTCAGTCCATACATGATCTACGGAAAAGTTCTTAGGAAACTGACAAAAGGATTGTCCTAATAATTTTGAAAAGCAATATCATTCGTAATTCAACCATAAAACATAAATTTTGTCACACACAAAGGCTGAAAATGTAACAAGGTATGCAAACCAAGAATTGTGGAAAAGATTTGGGTATTCATACATTGAACTCAATATCATGCTTCCGCACAAGTGCCTCCACATAGCTTCCCAAACCAGCAGCTGATGATAACAATGAAATCAGCCGTTTTTGCAATTATTATTTTTATAAATCACAAAAAGACATAAATGTTGACAGATTTGAACAACTGAAATAAATGCCATCACAATGCATTAGTAATATAAATTTCAAACTTGATGTAAGAAGAGAATCAGTTATCTAAACCAGACCAGGATCAATGGGACCAGCGGTTGTCAACGTTAGCCACTGGCCTTCCAAAATAATATCAGCTTGCAAGATTCGCCCAACATCAAAAGGCTCTGGGGCGTAAACTGATTTTATAGCACCTGTGGTAGTGATAGTAGAATGAGAAATGAATACAGATATGTCTTGAAAATATAATAATCTATGGTATTCTAAGCCTTGCATATGTAAACTCATGGGCCACCCATTGCCAATTGGTTATGGGTTGGATGCTCCAACTTTAGCAAGGTTTCAAGAGCAAGCAATTCATCCACTTGCTAAGCAAAATTTGGGCACATGTGCTACAAGCCACCCAATGTAATTTATGCAAATGTGTGGCATAGTCCAGCAACACGCAAATGGGATGTGTTGAAAATGTAAATATCTCATGTAGGGTATTCAGTTTCTAAGCCTTTCATATTCATAAAACCTCCTGGGCTTCTCCACCCAATATGAAAACTAACTTTGACATTGGCAGAAAGGGAGAGAAAAAAATAAAAACGGAAAGACAAAATCTAATCTTGATGGATGTGGTATCTGAATCTACAGCTTTCTGCATCCAGTTGGATATCATAGAACAACAAACTTTACTCAACCTAACACCTTCAGCAGAGCTGTACAAACTTAGCTATAGGAATTGAGATGAAAAGACATTAACTTGCGAGGAAAAAGATATCATGGTCCTCATAAACCAGTTTGCCCAATATATATATATATATATATATAAATCCACCAATAAAGCAATCAAATAAGCATAAAGTGATTGCATAGAAACATTAAGGATGGCAATTCAGTCCTGCCCATTCAACCAACTATTCTTAAAGAAAAAAAGAGGGTCTTGAATCCAGCCCATTCAGTCACTCTTCTTGAAAAATAAGAGGGTCCTGGATACCCCTATCCTTTGTTCTTCTACAACTAAAGTGGAAGGCAAAAAAATAAAACTGTATGAACTTCCAGAGACAGTCTCCTATTAGCACAAGCTTTTAATGACACTCAGTTTAGTGCAGCATTGCATGGTGAAGTTTGTGAATGTATCTTTGATTCTTCCACCATAGAGAGAAATAAGCCCATGATTGCTTCTCCCACTGAATCAATAATGTCAAAGTCTAGCCTCAGCTAAATTGCCATCAAGATCCAAGCACAGAGCGTTCAACACTATATAGGCAAAGCCAAAAAACTTCACTACTTGAGTGAGCTTTTAGCTGGTTAGATCCATGCTACATGGACTTGAGTATAAATATTGTTGGGTACGTGAGTGAATCAGACAATATTATCAACCACATAATAGTACAAGATTTGCAATCCATCATGTCAATTTATTTCCAATGGACAGAAATTTGAAATTAGTTAGTCGCTAGCTAGTGGTGACATAATTGGTTAGTTAGACATCTGACACAATCTGAAAGTAGGAGGCTATTCTGATTCCTGGCCCACAACACTAGTTCCTCTACTTCATGCAAAGGAATTCTTACACATATCAGACATTAAAACACAAAAAATCCACAGCTGTAATGCTACACAGAACATATCAAAGACAACCCAGCAAGTGAGTGCATGTCCGCATGCTTATGACAACATGGTTAACTGCCACTGGCATTCATTTATTAAAATTTTATTTATTTATCAAATAAACACACACACTACACCAAAGGAAGTGAAGAATAACAAAATGAGCATGATGTGACACCAGCTTATGCATGTAACACCCAACCAATAATTATCGTGCCCTTGTTCAGAAAAATCAGAAGAAGTATGGAAAACATATATATACCTGATATAAGCTCCTTCTTGCCACCTTGAGATGATACACGATACCATTGAATCGAACACTTGGAAAGTTCTGGAGCATCATCAGAGCAAGGTTGAATTCGCAAATATGAACCCAAGGCTTCAGGGCCATCTAATTCATATAGTTGGGAATTTTGTTCCAAGCCCCTCTTACTCATTGCCAGCTGAAAGTTACAAAGTGATAGTGTTAGAATTAAAGAGTACAAAGAGTAAAGAAGGCCAATATCATACTACTCCCATCCACCGGGCCACATACACCCTCAACACTCTGAAAAATGAAGGAAACAAAAGGAGAAAGACCAAATACAAGTATATACCACCAAACTCCTAATAAGACCATCATCCTTTTGCCACATCAAAACCAGCGTTTCAAGCACTATCATATGCATAAGAACTCATCTTTTACATCAGGTTAAACATTCATCTTTCGTAGGAATTAACACTTGATTGCTTCCATTGTTACCCTGGAAAAGAAAAGCTTGCATACAGGCCAGAATCATCTCCTTATTTAGCAAATACTTGTCATGAGAGCCATTTCCTCATTTTATCCAGATTGGATATGCTAAACTCCTCCAATACTTCATGACACACATCTAACTTGTCAAAAACATATTCAGAACATGAAACATCTTTTTGTGTCCAGTACTCATTTGTCGGATATGCCTATTTTCTATAAGGAAATGAGATTACCTTCTCTTCTAGGTAAATTAAATACAGATGATCGATACAAGAATTATAGAATTTAGTTGAGTGTAGACGCAATCAATTGTGTTAAAGGGAAGGTGTTTTATGTAAGTTTATTAAGAGTCTTACTTTCCTCAGTATTTACTGTATTAAAAGTCTTGTTTTATTTACCATTGATAGATTTCTATAAAGTTTTTGTGTTTTTAGAAGTCTCTTTTTTAGTTTTTCCTTAAGTGGGCCATATATGCCACAATCCTTTTTTATTTCCACTATTTATTGCCTGAGCTTTAGTCAAGATAAAACAAAATGACGACAAGTGTCTAAGGCAAACCACAAGCCACCACTAAAACATAAAAGAAACAGTTGATTTTTCTAAAGACCCAATTGATAAAAGAAACATGACATCTGACCAAAAACTAAAAAGATAAAAGAAACATGAAACAAACTATTTAATTTAAAAGTACCAATCAGCCCAAATGGAAAACTTAAAGCACATATGAAGTCTAAACCCTATATGGTGCCACTGCCTTTAGCAAATTGCACATGCTATGCAGTGCCTTGACGGCAAAGCATACACTTACCATGACTTTTGCTAAACAATCGCACACCTAAGGCGATTGACGTGCTGAGCCTCACCATCGCTTTTCACACCATTTGACACAATAGCCAAAACAAAAAAATTTAAGGACCCCGGACAAGCTTAGTTTTAGCAGCTAGTTTTCTGCATTATATCCAGTATAAACGAAAGAAACCTATTAAGACCTGGAGGCAACCTATGGGGCAAGTGAAATAACTCCAGAAGTATAGGGATAGGTCTCAGAAAGCTTTCTGTCCTATACTTCCTAGACTACAACTTTTGCCTCATCTTATAGAAAGTAAATTATCTTATTTGGTTTTCATTCATCAGGATTAGTGCTCACTTATAAAGATATTGCACAAAGATATTATTTGATTGCTTGGCTAGAAAACCAGGTTGCGTTCAAAATTTTCACATCAAGTTTTTTGGATAAGAATTAATCTTGTGGTTTCTTTTAAATCGAGATTTGTTCTTAGGGTTTTTCATATTTTTTCCCAAAAAGTAATTGCTACTCTGCCTAAAATCTCAAGGTTTTTAGTTGCATTAAGAACTAAAAATTCAAAGAATAACATAAAATAAAAAACTATATTTGAGCATCATCTACCAAAACAAACTTCCCAGCAAACCTAGTCGCTGATTTCAACAAACCATAGATCCAATGCAAGGAATTCCCAGAACCAGGAAAGTACCAAGAGAATGCATATACAACAGATCCAAAAATGAAATATAATAAAAATAATAATAATAATAAAAACCAAAGCAGCATAGCAATAAACACAAAAAGGCAAAGCTTAACCTCCATGTTAACATCGATTATTGGAAAATGCATAAATGTTTGAACCCCTCAGAATTTCAGCATATTGACATATGTTATGCAACGGAGACTCATCAAACCACATCATAAAAGTTAGATATATCAAAATAGGCAAAGCATTTACAATAATGAATAAACCTCTTTCTGAAGTCGAACAGAATTCTTAGACTTCTCTGTGAGCTGTGCCCTCAATGCTCGAAGTTCATGTTCCATGTCCATAACCTACAAATTGATGATTAATCCATGAAGAAATTCTTATAAGTAAAAATTTATTAATAGAGCCCAAAAGGGTGTAATCATGTACAAAAGTATAAAGTTAAATAAATAAAACCAAAAATAAGAAAAAATCTACAGGCAAGAGTCACTAAAAAAGATTGAAAAGAGAGTAATTTTAAGTAGAAGTGGTTTTCGTTATACAAAAGAAAAGTAATATAAAGAAAATACATAAATTTTAGCAGTTTATTAATTCAATAGAAGCATAAAACCAGGAAGCTTCCGCTTCACTGCAAAGAAAATATCTGCACAAAGACACAAACTTAAACTCGATCGTTGGAGGATGCAAATGAAAAGTCACTTATTGGAATTTTTTTTTACAAAAAGCATAATACCTTTAAAAGAATAGAAGTTTACAAAGCAGAGACACACATACACCCACAAAATTAACTCAATATTTCAAGGATGCATATTATAATTCACCTCGTGAATTGGAAGAATCAAACTTGTAATTAAATTAACAACCCACGCTTTTCAAACAAACATGAGATCCTTAACCAAATTGTATAAACTTAATACAGGACATTCATACGATATCCTGATAACATTTCTCTATTACTTAAATGAAACAGAACACACAACACCCTGAAAGTGATCCTATACTTCTAAGTCTACAGTTATAAACAAAATAAATACGAATGATCAAAAAAGTCACCTTGCTTGGCTGATGCAGCATTTTGATTCGTCTAGCCTCTTGGACCTCTTTCATTAATTCTTCCAAGTCCTAAATATCTCACAGAAATTGTACGAGTCAAAAACATAAATTATAGACTTGTGGACAGACATGCTAAATTAACAATGCAGTAAATACTACTCAATGTTGTCTCAAATATAAAATAACCAAAGAGAACATGAAACGAAAATACTACTACTGTCCAAAATTGTCATTCTAATGTCAAAAAGCGTGATAACCATTAATGAAGCATTAAATGTATTAAAATTCCGCATCCTAACAAAGGTTTTAAACATCACTGAAACCACTGAAAATTCCAGTAAAATTACACTGCCGACGCTCTCCAGAAATTTCAGTAGTTTCAGCAGAAATTCGCTGTATCAGGTCAATTTCAGTGAAATCGGATTGGCCCATTTTGTAAATATCTTGGAACAAAAGAGACCTTATTATTAACCCACACAAAAGAACAAGAAAAAAAAAAGATCTCAGTAACCCCCATGTGGAAGTGTCTTCGTATCTCAGTAACCCACATGCTAAAGAAAGTGGGCAAAAGACATGGGCTGATCATTTTGATAAAGTTTATGGGCTAAGGTTTTTTACAAACTTACAAAGAATTATAAAGCCCATGGATCATGTCATTAGTATCCTACACATTGACAAATATAACCAATATTACTAAAGTATTCCCAACAAATATAATCTTTGTTATCTAATAAAATTCAATTGTCAATTCAATATATAATCAATATGAAATTGCTATAAAACTTAGATAAATTGTTCCATAGAAGAGAAGAGATAAATTGATTTATCTAATATAAATATGTACTTAAGTTATGAAAATATAAATCATTAAAGTACAATATTTTTTTGGGACAAACGTTAAAGTACAATATTGTTTGCACTATAAATGCCATATATTTGGCAGAGATACACTATTTTATAAAATTTACACGGCAAATCTCTGCATTATTAATAACTATAACATCTATAAATGTTTCATTCAAAATTTCTATGTTTTCCTTGATCCTTAACATAACATGCTTTATAAACAATGCAACAAGCAACACAAGTTCAAAGACCAATATGGATGCATTCCGTATATAGAACTTAACAAAGGCTGTGACAGTTGAAACACTCTTGCTTTAGAAATTTTGCGGTCCAAAAATATGCATATAGCACACACCTGCTTCCCAGAAGCTCGCGACATTTGTTCTTGTTCCTGAAGGGCTTCTTCCACTCTCTGTACTGCTGCTCTGGCATTTTCAATTTCAGCACGAGCAAAAGCTCTTTCCTCATCGACAAGTTTTTTAGCATCTTCTGAAGCCTAAAAATGGATTAAGAGACTCAAATTGGAAAATACTCAAGTGATTAAATGAACAAATAAGAAATGTATCAAGACCAATTTTTGTGAGGCATGTAGCAAAATTGACCGTTGATAATCTTCATCACCCAACGTTATTAATGTGGATTGGTGTTTTTATGTGTAAGAGGAACCAGTGCGGTCATAGATCATGCTTCCCTATGTTTTCTCCTTTTACTTGCCGAACATGTTTTGCACCGTTTTGGTTTTGCAAAAAAAGGAAACCAACCGAAGAAACATTAATGAACAGGCCCTTAACATTTAAATTATATCAAATTACCTGCTTAAGAAAATTTGCTAGCTTCTTCACCTCTGCTTTTTCTTGCATTAACTCCCCTTCTCTTTGAGTCAACTGAACTGCTAAAGCCTCCACCTGCAAGAAACGATCATAAATTTCTTGGTCATTATTTGTTCCTTTTGATGATTGCAGAGCCAAAACAATTATAGGAAGGAACAATCAAGATAAAGGGGTCAAGTGAAACATTCTAGAGACGACTAAACATACTTGGAAATGGAAAATGAAAGTCTAATATAAGAAAACATAGGAGGAAAAGTTAAAATATCATAAGATGACAAGACTAAAGGTAACAAATCAAACAATTCATTAGTAACCTATAACAAAATAGAATAACATGGTTCCAAATGCAATCATTTAATCTTGGTGAATTAATTAAATGGCAGGGATTGGAATGGTAAGCATTTTTTACAGCATCCGTGGACACAGGCAAAACTAAAAGGTGGGAGGGGAATTATAGCATTTTCTGTAGTATTAAATGTTGACAATATCCATTTTTCCAAGGCTTGTTAGTTTATTATATCAGTGGTTTACACAAATAAAGGCATTAAATGCTTCTTTCAGGACTGTAAACTCCCATAAATCTTCTCTCATTCTTTTTTTTTTTTTTTTGTCTCTTTCTTTCTCTCCCCCTCGCCAATTGGTGGTTTAATTGTACACGTTCAAATTAATTTCTCTTATACTCTTTTAGTTTTCTTTGTGAATTCTATTTAACATATTATATATTTTGTTACATTTCATGAAATTTATGTACATTGTTAACTTGAAACTTCATAGATTTCTTCTGTGAGTAAACTTGTTGAATTAAAGGGTGGATAGGGCTTCACATTTAGTCAATTAACATTACCCTAAATGCCTATCTAAGCATGAGCAGCCTCCTTGCACAGATTTTGTGGAGCAACTACACCTTATTCCAATTCATTGCAACATCTAAAATGGTGCTAATCTTCACCAAATCCCTAAATTCCAACCTTTAAGAAGCATTAACCACCATCCAATGACTCAAATGCATACAAGGGCAGTCCTTTACTCTTGTGCTTTGTTAACAAACCATGGTTATCAATAACGTCCATGCCTGTACCAGTTTGGTATGTACCAATTTGAAGAAAAGATGGAGCAGGTACAAGGAAGTGTGGCCTAAAGTGGTGGACTGTGAGTCAAGATGCCTTGGCTGGATAAGCCAAGGTGGTTGAGGTGATTGGAAAACAGGATCAAATGAACACATCTGCTGGTTAAATTGAATGGAAGTGTCATACAGGTAAGGTTAGTATTTCCAATAGTCAGCTTCCTTTTAAACCCGTAATGACTGGGTTAAATCCAAAACATACAATCTCTAGCTATGTGGGTGCTGGGTTAAATCCAAAACATACAATCTCTAGCTATGTGGGTGCAGATCATAAATTCTCTGAATTGCAAGAAATGTAGATATAGATCATCTCTTTTGTAAATTGTAATTCACGTGAAAGAAGACAAAATTGTCAAAGATATATGTTCACATTTCATGGTTGAGTATAACACAAAACGAACTGATTAAATCCAACCAAATATCAAGTCGTTTATTTTATTTGATACAAGAATACAGACCTTGTCAGATCTTACACAGTCTCACTGCAAAAATACAACAACATTGTCCAGTAGGGGAGAAGAAATCCACCCATGAAACAAGACAAAGAAAGAAGCTATCCTGTACTTTTACAATAAAGAAGTCCAACAAAATAGGCAAATGCTTCAATTGGTACCTGATGCAGGAGCATCTATTAGACTTTCCTAATCTAAGTGGGCATCAGCCAATAAGGATAAGTTATAGTAATATTAAATTAATAGGTTATTTTATTACTTGTTTTCCTTTCTTACTAGGATTTGGTCTAATTTCCTGTTTAGGTTTTTAATTTCCTATGTCAATTAGGTTTTCTATATTCTAGTATAAATAGGCTATTAAGAGACTCTTGTATTTAGTTTTTTTTTTTTGAAAAGAAACAGTATTATTCAAATAGGATAGAGCGAAGAACACGAGATGGCCAAGGAGGCCATCTTACAAAACAGAAAGAAAAAGCTCTGCACTACAACACTACTGCTTTCCAATCTAGGTGGATAAGCTGAAAGCTGATATCCTTAAATTCTACAGAAACGGAGGCCCAAAGAGATGCGCAGACTCGGATACGATCCCATATCATCTCTACCTCGTCCCCCATCCCATTCTCAAAAATTCTCCTATCCCTTTCCCCCCATATTTGCCAGAAAATTGCCATCATGGCACAGTTTCCCAACACTAAACCCTTCCTCCTCCCACCAAAGACTCTGAACCTGGCTTCCAACACCTCACTACAAGTTGCAAAGTTTCCCCATGTTATCCCCGTCTCCCGGGCTAGCTTAGCCCACAGGGACGAGGCAAAGGGACATAGTAAAAAGAGGTGATCCACAGTTTCATTTTCTTTTTAGCACAGGACACACCAATTAGGAGAGAAATACCAGCTGGGTCTTTTCCTTTGGACCAAGTCGCATGTGTTAATTCTGCCTTGAGCGATTTACTCTTGTATTTAGTTTTGTTGATGAATATAATTTCAGACTTTAGTCTATAGAGTTTTTATTGGGATTTTGCCCTAGACCTCAATTATCTTCGTTCCAACTTCGATTGTACTGCTTTGTCCTTCTATTCTCTGTATTTTGGGTATGTTTGGGTCATTGGACAGCAGCTTATAGCCGCTGCCCTGCATCAAATTGGTATCAGAGCCTAGGTTAATCCTTGCTCCATACCATGGTTGGACGCGCTAGAGGTCGTGGACGAGGGAACCAAGCCCAACACACACAGATGGCTGAGATGCGGCTTATGATGGAAGACTTGTCAAGAGCGGTGCAAGCCCTCCAACGAAAGGAACGCGTGGATGCCTATATGGAGATTCTGGAACGCAACCGCGAACCCTTACACATACCGGAAGGTGGTGGTGAGGATGAATATGAAGATGAGACGGACGTCGACAACCTTTTTCATGCAGCTGGAAACCATGGTGATGGTCATCGAGGTGGATTGGATGAGCGGTTGGTTTGTGCGTTGGATTTGAATGGTGGAGGAATTAAAATTGAAGCAGTTGATTTCTATGGAAAGATGCATGTTGAAGATTATTTGAATTGGGAGGCAAGTCTAGAGAATTATTTTGAATGGAAGCCTATGGCAGAAGATCACAAGGAGTTGTTTGTAAAGCTTAAATTGAAGAGTACCGCGCTTCAATGGTGGAAGAGAGTTGAAGAGCAGCGTGCTTGACAAGGGAAGCAGAAGATCAACACACGGGATCATATGAAATCCAAGTTATGAAAGCAGTTTTTACCAGCGGATTATACCATGGAATTATATGAGCGGTTTCATAACTTAAAGCAATGAGACATGTCTGTTGCAGAATATACGTCAGAGTTTAATAATCTCTCAATTCGAGTTGGTTTGAATGAGACTAATGAGCAGATGACATCCCGTTATCTTTCTGGTTTGAATCAGATAATTCGAGATGAGATGGGGGTGGTCCGTTTGTTCAACCTTGAAGATGCTCGACAATATGCTTTAATGGCAGAGCGAAGACTATCGCGTCGTGGTGGAAAGAGAGCAGTTTCTAGCTGCCCAGACACGGGTTGGCAAAGAGATACTGTTGCTGTTCATGGCGTCCAAAGTGATGAAGAAGCCAATCCAAGTACCCGAATAGGTGGTAGGAACTTGGGGACTGATAAGAGTGAAAAGGGGAAAGAAATAACACAATTTCATCCTCCAAACAGGGCTAATGTCAAGGATTCCAAGGCTGGAAGTACTTCACAAGCTCGATGTTTCAATTGCGGAGAGGCGGGGTATAAATCTTACACTTGTCCACAAAGAAGAATAAATTTGGTAGGTGCTAAGATCAACTTTCCAAAACCAGCATATGATGTTTATGGCAACAAAGAGGAAATTATTGATCTCTTACCAGTTGAAGGAGAATGTTTGTTGGTAAGGCGAGTGATGACAACTCCCAAAATTGAGGAAGAAGATTGGCGCCGACATAATATATTCCGAACACGAGTCCTTTGTTGGGGAAAGGTGTGCAACGTGATTCTTGATGAAGTAGTGAAAACATTATCTCAAAGAAGGTGGTAGAAAAATTGAAGTGACCAATTGAGAAGCATCCTAATCCCTGCAAGGTTGCATGGTTTCGAAAGGGAAGCGAGGTACCAATCACTTCAAGGTGTTTGGTTAAATTCACTATGGCCCCGTTTGGTTCACGGAATGGATTTGAGGGGAAATCAATTCCCATGTCATTTCCCAAGGAATGGGAATGAAAGATTCCTTTCCCACGTTTGGTAATGTTGGGAAAGTAACCGGGAGATTTCACTTTGTTTCCTTTCCCATGTTTGTTTTGAGTAGGAATGGAAAACAAAGTTTGTATAATTTTCCAATTATATCCATATTAAATCAAATAAAAAAAGAATGCATTTAATGATACGTTGTAATTATAAATTGTTCATAGGGACAAAATAGTCATGAAAATTGTGCATTGAATGTTGGCTCATTTTCCCAAACTTTCCCATGAGGAGGGAAAACAAAACCCAAGTTAAGAGGAGGGCATCACTTTCCCCCCTACTTTCCCATGTGCAAGGCATCCATTTCCCATGCCCGGACTTACCAAACATGGGAAAGGAATTGAATTCCCATTCCCAAGTCTTCTTTCCCATGAACCAAACGGGCCCTATGGGTAATACCCTTGAGGATGAAGCTTGGTGTGATGTTCCCACAGACACATGTCATATCTTATTGGGAAGACCATGGTTGTTTGACAAAGACATGATGCATTCTACTAAAGCTAACACCTATTCATTCTATAAGGATGGGAGAAAGTGGACTTTGCAGCCGCTTGAAGAAGGATTCTGCCATGCTTCTAAAGATGCAAGGGTTAATGGTCATTTGAGAGCCCATAAGTTTGACATTGAGCGCAAGGAGGTGGCGTCTATGTATCCACCACTTGTTTCTAAGAAGGATGTTGCAGGAGCTTTGAATAAATTGGAAGATGACAATCTCCTAAATTTAGAAAACCCTCCCGTGTTTGACTATTGTTTGGAAGAAGATTGTGAAGTTTGTTTGGGAATTGAGAAAGCTTTTGACAAGGTATTTGGTGAGAGTAAACAAGCTGAATCTAGTGTAATCTTGAAGGCAGTGAATCACAAAGAAGTTGGGTTTGAACTTTTGAAGCAACACAATCAACCTACGTTTGAAGGAAAGGTGATTCAAGAAATTCTTGAGGGAATTGTTGGAGATGAGATGAATTCCTTCAAAGGTGATACTTGTGAGTATGCTGATTTTCTTGGGGTTGATTCTTTTAATTTGCAAACTACCAAGACCATCATTGACCTTGTCAGGCTACTGGTTTTTGGCGTGAAGAGTTTTTGGGCTGAGAGCTTGGCTGCAGAAGATATCTGGTACTGTTCTAGAAGGATCAAATATTCTAAATATCTATTTCTTTGGAGTGGGAATGTTCAATATCAAGGCCAAAGTTCTATGGACAACTTATCTAAGAGGAGGTTATGTCTAGGTGGTTTTCACCAAACGATTGGAATTCGAGGAAGAATTCTTCCCAATCCAATGGAGTTGATGCAGGAGCATCTATTAGACTTTCCTAATCTAAGTGGGCATCAGCCAATGAGGCTAAGTTTTAGTAATATTAAATTAAGAGGTTATTTTATTACTTGTTTTCCTTTCTTACTAGGATTTGGTTTAATTTCCTATGTCAATTAGGTTTTCTATATTCTAGTATAAATAGGCTATTAAGAGACTCTTGTATTTAGTTTTGTTGATGTATATAATTTCAGACTTTAGTCTATAGAGTTTCTATTGGGATTTTGCCCTAGAACTCAATTATCTTCGTTCCAACTTCGATTCCACTGCTTTGTCCTTCTATTCTCTGTATTTTGGGTACGTTTGGGTCACTGGACAGCAGCTTATAGCTGCTGCCCTGCATCAGTACCCCTCATAAATTTTACATGCTATATAAAATAAACTATCAACCAGTTAACACTGAAAAGTAGAATAAGTTTACTGAAAGGAACAATAATAAGAAAATTAAAAAAAGACACAAATGAACAACTAACCATTGAAATGGCATCCTCTACATCATCCTTGTTTCTACCAGCCACACGTCCTTTTAATGATTCCAGTGCATCCCGAAGCTTCTTCAAAAGGACATGTTTCTCCAAAGAAGCTGCCTCCCTAAGTCTAGCCTGTATTCAATAAGTGAATACTTCAGAATTTGGTAATCATCGACTACATTTAGATGTTCATTTTCAATTCCCAAAAAGGAACAAGAGAAGCATTTTCTATAATCATAGCCTATAACTATTAAACCACAAGTTTTCCAAGTTATTTAAACTGAAAACAAATTAAAAAGAGATTCACAACTACAGTGAAATAAATATACTAAACCTTCAAACGAAACAAAACAAAAAAGAGAATAGAACCTTCTTACAACTTCTCATAATATGAAAAATTATTTTATTCCCAGTATATTTTCTGAAAACATAGCAAGCACCAAAAATTTCCAAGATTTCCCTCAATTTCAGCCTCCAAAATGTCAGAGAAAAAACTAAAAGGTGATTGAAGCAAACCACATACTAAACTTCACTTAGAAAGCAAACTAACTTTCTAGCAAAATGCCAAAAACTTTGAAACCATTTAACCTCTTCAGACAACTTTGCAGCAGCAGCCAACCCTTTCTCAAATTTACTGGCAAGGTCACGGACTGAAAGGCGTTTTTGCTGTTCCAACAATTGTGCTGTCTCACGTGCAACAACTTCCTTCATTGATAGTACCTTTTGCTCATCCTTTGCCTCCACAATCTGATTGTTAGCTCCAATTTTGTAATTAGGAAATCGACTTGAGGAAAAAATTACATCTGCAGACACAGCCGGAACAGCATCCTTTTGCATTGTATCCCCAAAATCTCGACCCACCCTCGTCATTTCTCCAAACCAATTACTGTGTCAAACACCAAAAACTACACTTTAAAATTCACACTGACATTGTAAAAAAGAAATCTCTAACTGAAACCAAATGTGGGTCAGAGCCCACCACTTAATTTAAGTAAACAGTTTAAACAAATTGCATTCAGTTGCTCAGAAAATGTAGAAGACGAAAAAAAAAACTTGTATTATTATACAAATTTCATCACTTAGAATGGTACAATTGAGCCAGTACAAGTTAATATAAGCTTAATTTATAAATTTTCACTCTTTCTTACAAATACCACATAAGATTGTAATTTCAATTCTCTTTTTCTCTTTAGTCTTCTCGCCTGAGTAACCAAATGGCTGACCACAAAACAAATAATACATGAAGGGCCAAAATTTTCAATTATAATAAAACCCTTAGCTGACCAAAACCCAAAACCGAAAAGCAAACATATATAAGAAATATCTATTTATAACCATAAGCATTCAAAACAAGATAAAAGGCAAGAGCAAATACAGAAAACAAATATTCCTGATTACCCAATACAGCAATAAGCCTGAAGAAAGATTTAGAGCAATCAAGCTGAAACCCTAGCCGTTGAATTGTTGTGCTTTTTTGGTAGTGTTAAAGAGCAATGTAGAAAAGGTGAACAATGAAGACAAAAAGGGAAACTTGGACTTACAGATGATGAAGCTGTAATAAATAATGGGAAAGAGGGTTTGAGATTCTTGGATCAGATGCAGGTTTCGCTTCTATTTTAGTTATCCAAATTGGTAATCTAGAAAAACAGAGAGAGAGAGAGAGAGAAAGAGAGAGAGAGAGAGAGAAAGAGAGAATATGCAATAGGATGGGCCTGGTTTCGTTGCTTTTTTTAAAAGCGAAGGAAGAAAAGAGCCGGCCGTCCCCTGTTTGTATTCTTTTATTATCTTCTTTCCCACCTAATCATTTTCAATTTTTTTAATACTCTAAGATCATCTACAATCCGGAACGTCCAAATTCAAATTTCGAGACTCTAAAAACAGTTTCATCTCTTAATAGTACTGGTTTTGAGCAAATGCTCCATTGTGGAAATGTCATGTTTTCGAGTACTAGTTTCCTTATAGTGTGTGTGATACCAGTGCATCTCTTAATAGTCTTTTAAAAAAAAAGTTTCATAAAAAGTCATAATCAGTTTTTTTCCACCAACATGTTGCTTCTAAAAATTTGAGACTTTGCATATATGGGCTCAGCCAAGTTGATTAGAGCACATGTGCCTCTATTATGCACCCAAGTTCAAATTCCTCTCTATAGTTTAGATTATATTAAAGTGGAATCATGTTGAATTTTTATTAAAAATAGCCCAAATCTACCCTCTACTTTCATAAATGTCAGATTTTATAAAAACTTTCAAAAATAGTCAAAAACTCACTTAAATATACTCAAATATACTCAAATAAACAAAGAAAAGAAGGAATGGAGCCTAAATTTATGATTAGAATAGAATTTATCAAAAAACCCATTAAACAAGAAATAGAATAACCATTCTCAATCATTTGAAATTCAATTCACCAGCAATAACAAAGAAACAGAATTATATTATTTGAAGATAAAAAAAAATTAAAAAGAAAAAGAAGAAGAACCAAAAATCATCTGTAGTCTTGGTCTCTTGTTCTTCTGAGGAAGTTCAGTGTTTGTATCTGGGTTGGCTTGCTGCCGCCCTTGGTGTCTTCTCTTTAATGAAAGACAGATTTGGTTTGGACCAAAAAATAAAAAAATAAAAATTTCTTTTTATGTAAACTCTGTATGCTTATTTTGTCCTACATTTTTTTCTCCTCCCAGTAATATAATTATTTACCTGTTTTATTATAGTTGACAAACCATTCCTCTCTCTTTAAACTAAATGTGTTGGAATTTTAAAAAGGTTTTAAAAATTTAACCATTTTGATTTGTTTAATTATTTTGGCTGTTTTATTTTATTTATTGTGGGGGTTATAAATATTTAATTTTCAGGTTTTATTTCTATATTGAATGCCTTAATTTTCTAGTTTAATGTGGTGAAGGTTACATGTTATTGGATGCATATAAAAGGCCACTCCTCCTTCACATTTGAACAACCACAATACACCATCAGAATATCACATACCACAATCACCACCACAATATGATTATCTCCTCTTCTACTTTTTATACTTTGTCCACTTATATTACTATTTTGGGCAATGGTTCTATGACTTGGATACCTATATCCATCAATAACGTGCTCATAGCGGATCTTGACCTTGTGTATAAGGAGTCGTATCTTGGAGTATTGTAGACTACCAACACTTGCACATAGAGAGGCTACAAAGGCTTTAGGACAGCGTTTTTGACGTGCTTCACCATACCAAGCTCACCTTCTTACTTATAATTTATTTTGCTTTTACTTACCTATCAATTTGTTTTTCTTCAGTTTTAATGTACCTTAAAATCTTTCCAATTTGTTTATATGTTATTTATAATATAAAGGTTTTGTATTTGGCTTTACAGAAAAAGGAAAATTATAATTTTTATAACAATCTAAAGCCTTTGTATGTTAAAGTTGTTTTCTTCCCGTACAACTATTGCTTTAATACCTTTTAACTCTTTGACTGAAACTTTTGCATTTGTATTGGATTTTCAAATTGAAAATTGCAATTTATTTTGGGTAAATTCAGTTTAAAGCTTTCATGTTGTCTATACAATTTCAATTGCTTTAAATGTTTTAAATCTCATTATGATATTGTTGGTACATTTTATTATCACTTATTGGGTCTGACCAATTTTTGGGTCAATTTGATTTTGGTTTGACCAATTTTATGTTTAATGGGTGTATTGATTTTGTCATTTAATATTTTGATAATTGTTTACACTCAGAATAAACAGCCAATAAGAGCAAGACACGTGGAGGAAACTGGGCTTGGTCAGAGGTGCCCTCAGCACTCTACCTACCGATATCTCCATTAGGGCAACGCCCTCTCCTGGGACACGTGGCACGCTCCCAAGCGACGTCCACAGTCCCACATCGAAATTATCAACAAAATGCACGCCTTCCAAGACCTATAAAAGGAGGCCAACCAACCCAAAATGGAGGTAATCAGAACTTACGGCATACAAGCCTATTGATCTGTCAGTTGAACTTTCTATTCCCGAACTTACTTAAGCATCGGAGAGCCTTCGGCCGGTACCACACCGGTGCCCTAGGTCTTACCGTGTTTTTACTCATATTGCAGATCGCACAGACTACCGAGGCATCAAGGATACCGAAGGCATAAAATTACTAAGTTGACCCTCTAAGTCAAAGAACCACTTTTTGTCGTCAACAGTTTGGCGCCGTCTGTGGGAAACGATAAAATCAACCCTTTATCCCAAACACATGGGGACCAACTCAAAAGCTACGTTCCTACCACAGGAGGGGATGCCGTTCGGCATCCCTAGTGGGGTTAGCCCAGCGCCACCCCCATACACCCCGGCAACTAATCCACCTGTGCTCCAACCCGCCGAAAATGCGGAGCTTTTAGCCCAAGTCATGTCCCTTCGGCAGGACATGGCTAGGTTGCAGGAACACAACAACTTCCTCTCGTCCAGAGTGGACGAAACACAACAGTTGCTCAATCAGTAGCAAACACAAAACATCCAGACCAATCGATCTTCCGAGAGCCTACAGACTCCCCGTCGGCAGAAGAAGGGCAAAAAGGTGGCAAAGGCAACGCCTGCGCCGTCTAAACAATTGGTGGTCCCGGCCCCGAAAAACAAGCCCCATGTGCCGAAGAAGGTCTATTCCGATTGCCGACACAGGTTGTTAGAGCGGGAAGTCGAACGGCAGTCCGAGCGGCAGGAATCGCCGATCAGGATAAATGCCCGCCTGGACGATCCTCGACTGAGAAGCATGGGGAGGAAGTCTCCAATACGGAGGATACAAGTCCTTGAATCAACGGCAGAGTCTCACCAAGAGTACGTCCCTTCCGCAAACCGATCACCGTCCTACCGTTCGGCAACCCCGACGAAGTTCTCTGAGGTCAATCCTGTTAGGTCCCAGCAGCGATCGGTACATCAAACTATGGAGGAGATACCGGACAGGGACCCTGTCATCCGCCTCCTCCTTCAAAGGGTACAGAAGATGGAGGACGATCGAACTCGCTCTCAGGAGCCGGATTGGGGAAGGCTCCGGTCAGGACCCTTCACCGAACGCATAAGGCACTCACGGCAGGATAGGGACGTACAACCCCTACGCATAACCCCTTATACAGGGGTGGAGGATCCACTGACGCACCTTCATTCTTTCCAATCGGCAATAGGGTGCCGAGGGCTAAGCGACGAAGGCCTGTGCCTTCTGTTCCCTTCCTCACTCACGGAAGCAGCTCTAAATTGGTTCTACCGTTTGGAACCGGGAAAGGTCGATTCCTTCGACGAGCTGAAGCAAATCTTCCTGAACCACTTCATGATTCAGACGGACAGACTATACTATGTCGATGACCTGTATACCATCCGGCAGAGAGATGACGAACCATTGCGTGAGTATGCCGCACGATTCAGCCATGAATACTCGAGATGTCCGGATACCGATGACAGAGCGGCCTACGGCGCCTTCAAGAGTGGCCTACGGTCCTCACACTTTCGGTATCTTGTACACAGCAGCAACTGGCGTACATATGACGAACTCATGAAGCAAGCGGCAATCCACGCCAAAGCCGAATACTTCAACTCGAGGGCCGAGCCCACGGCTCGGCAGAGAAAACCCATATAGCGTTCCTCCGCGGCACAGGCATCGCCATTCGCGCCAGCAACACAAACTGCCAGGTACCTCGAAAGCCACAAGCGCAAAGATGCCGGAAGCTCCCAAAAGGGACATTCCAAGAAAAACAAGAGCAGGTACGGCAGGGACAACTACCGAGCCCCACTACCGGCACATAACCAGGGGACAGAGGTGTTCAC